GGCAAGTCAACGTTGTCGCAGTAAAAGTCCCAAGATAGCTCCTGGTGCAATAAAATGTTCCCTTTCAGTGTTTTACTATTATGTCTGATGTTTCTCTATTAATATTGCTGCTGCATTAATGTGTATGTTGCATGTTACTGCTGTAGATGTGTTTCCGAGCCACTCCGATTACAACGAGAGTTACAACGAGAACGTGAGATCATATTTACACAAGACGGATCCTTTCTAGCCATAACCGTTTTACGGGGCACGGTTTGCAATTCGCCCAGCCAATCAGAAATTGGAACCTTTTTCTCCCCAGGAAAGTCCCTGCTCTCTAGCAGGGACTACAAAGGGGTGAAAAGGTTCCCGAAACAAAAAATCTTTTTGGTGTGAACGCAACATCCCAGGAACTATCGGAACTATATCTGGGAAAAGTACGGGAAAAGTACTCCGGTGTGAAAGTGCCTAAGCACACAGGTAAACACAAACCAACACACACTCAGAGCAATGAAAGTTCTAGCTGTGTGAAGCATTCCTCTTGAAGACACATACAGTCTGTCAGAGTTGCTCACAGCTGCAGATCTGTAAGTGAAGATCCTTATGTCTGCAAGCCAAGCACACACACACACACACACACACACACAGTGCTCTTCCTCCTGACTGCTGTCTTTATAGAGAGATCTGTTTGAAGTACAAGGCCGCCTGGCTATCAGTGATGCTCTGTCAACACTCTCCTCAACATCACAAGTGAATGAGTGGCACTTTTTCAACACACACACACACACACACACACACACACACACACACACACACACACACACACACACACACACACACACACACACACACACACACACACACACACACACACACACACACACACACACACACACACACACACACACACACACACACACACACACACACACACACACACACACACACACACAGCTTTGGCTCCGGCAGGTACATTCAGCAGCCAGAATCTAGCTAATACCCCAAGCTTTTCATACTTCTATAATACGTTTAATGATTTCTCATCCTCCCTCACTCTTTCTCGCTTCATCCAATCTCGCAGCAGGATTCAATTCAGAAAGAACGCTGCATAGGGCCAAAAAGAAAACGCACAATGACTAATTATCTGCTTTGATTTACAGCTGTACAAGTGTTAAACTTGCTATGTTCGCGTGGCTATGCAGACACAGTGGGTGTGTGATGAGCCTGTGTTAGTGTGTATGTTTTCATGTATCAGACATCTTTTTACCGGGCTAAGCAATAAACGAGTGAGCAAGACAGACAGTTATCTTTTCCCCCGAGGACAAGAGAGAGAAAAATACAAGATCTGCTTCAACTTTGAACTTGGTCTTTCTCCCTCCTTCTCTTCTTCTGCTGTCATTTTTCCAATAGACAAGTAAAGCTGACTAGCAGATTGCTGCAGGCATTTTGCAGCCTCACATACACAGTATTGGTGATAATGACACCCGTTTAGGGAGAAAACCATTAACTGCTGCTGGGAGCTATGTGTGTGGGCGAGCATGCACAGGTCTATATAATCTACATTATTTAATTCTCTCTCAGGTGCGGTGGTCTGAGAAGACGTGTTTGTATTACTCTACAAAGTTACATTTTTTATTTTGAAACTATTTTTTGAAGCTGCCTGTCATACACCTGCCCAGGGACTGAGTTTGAAAATGTGCTAAAAGGGATAAATTGGCAGGGTAGGACTATGGTTTTAAACTGTAAAACTACAACCTGATTTATATATTATTTAACATTGCATAGCACACAAATATTCTACAAAAATGTTCTACATGAAGTCAACATGCATGTGTTCTGCATGCTGACAGGTCATAAGGTAAGTGCGCACATATCTCTAAGCGGTTGAACCATCAAAACAGAGCCGTCCAGCTAACCAGGAGGAGGTGCTGCAGCACAGGCATTATGAGAAGAAGAGAAGAGCTTTTTGAACATGAAGCATGTAAACATGTCACAGTAGAGTCACAAAATACAATTATAAAACCTGAAATAAGCATCATAGGGCCCCTTTAAGAGAACAGGAAACAAACGGAGCATTGTGCACTATAGAGGCTTAGATATGTACTGATCTGTGCTTTCTTCCGACACATTATTCCCCCCCCTTTTGTCTGCTCAAATAGGTTTAACATAGCAATTTAACTCAGGAAGATCCGAAATCCCAATTCTTTGGATGTCTCATTACAGCGCTCCCCAATAAGCCGCCTTCCCTTCTCTTTCTTGCCATGCATGGTTAGGGTAATGCATTCATTTCCTGTAGGGGGATTTGTGAGTAATTATGCACAAAGACATTCTCTCACTAATTAAGATGTAAAGACAGGGAGTTCAAGTAATCTGGGCATTCCACCAAGGCTTAGAAACACACAGTCCTTAAGGCACTGCACTGTGTGTATAGGTGTGTTACTGCATGTGTGTATCTGAATTCATTTGAAAGTGCTTGTGCCTATGTGTGAAAATGAAGTATGTGTTTAATTCTCTCATTCTAACCTTTTAATAAGAGGTATTTATTTCTTAAGTAACCGTCTGCCTACAGTCTGTATCTGTGACACATTTTTTGTCAGTGACACACATAGTTACCCTTCCAAACATGTAAGAAAATCTAACCGAATGATGGACCGTTGCCTGAGTGATTAGCAGGGGCGTGCTTGTGTGCATCAACCTAAATGTGTCAATGAGCACACGCCATAAATCAAAGTTACCAGCAGCCACAGCGGAGAGGAAGCCTCTGCTACCATAGGAACAGAATTAAGCCGCTGTGTCTCTCTCAGTCTCCCTCCCAGACGCAGCTTTAATTTGCCACGCTCCTCTGTATCCAGGAAATACAATGACAAGCCTTTGCCTTTGTTGTCTAACAGGGATTTTGACTATGCAGAGACAAGGCTGGGGAACAGAAGCGCACAGCCCAGACATGCTTCTGCAGCAGTTGTTTTCTTTTCTTTGTTCCCGATTTGTTCTTTGTTATCCCTTCTTTCCTCTGCTTTCCCTCTCTCTGTCAAACGCACACAGTTCTCCTATTTATTTATTTTCTCTTTCTCCAATAACTTATTCTCTCTTCTCATGTCTCCCTCTCTTTGTTTTCCCAAGACTTGCGCAGTCATATCAAGTGGCCTGCCAGATAATTAGATTGGACATTTGTTTGAAAACACATTTACAGAAGGGTATTATCCTCTCTCACAGACATAATTTTAATCAGACATGACAACAGAGCATTTTAGGAGTTTGCAGATAGACACAAAGAGGAAGACAGATATGCAGGGAGAGCTATAGAGAGGGGGACAAGAGAATTTGGAACCAGTTTAACTATTGTGTTGTGACAGAATTGCTGGAATTCCTCAGTGCACGGCTGATATACCATATCTGTGCTGCCTGTATCTCCCATCGCCTTACAGCGGACAATTTCTATGGAGCATAACTCAATTTGCAGGTATGAAATAGCCCGGAAAACAACTTACTCACACTTGCGGTTCGATGAAAATATGTCTGTCTCTGTATTTTCTTTTAAATATCTCAAATAAAGGAGACTGCTGTCCTGGAAAACCCATTCCTCCATTCCAAAAAAATCAGTGTCGTCATGGAAATTCATGGCTGTCCAGATAATGTGGCGTGTCTGAAGGGTTTTGCCAGCCGTGATGACCATGCTCACTGAAATCCTCATTGGATTGAGCACTAGTCTTATGATTAACTCCCTCACTTCAGACTGAAATGTTCCCAATAACAAAAACTTTTCCACTGTGACATTTCCTTATCCTTCATATGAACCCTGTCTACAATGAGAGGACATTCAGAACAGGTGTGTAATAAAACCCACTAGTATAAAAAATGAAATGAATGTTTTACAAGCTGGTTTAATCTTACTTCTAAAGTTAATAGAAAATTATAAATGTACACTTTAGATGAATAAATGTTAAAGAGGTGATTAAGATTTATTGTTCATCTCACACACTCTCAAGGTGAGTGAATGGTCCCGACATGGATCTATTCTGCCTATCAATTTCACATCCATTAAACCGGCTGTGCTGAGAAATAATCAACCGGTGAGTGAGGTTGAACTGCTGAGGCCTTATTTAGGCCTGACATGGCAACAATAATCCTAAATTATTTTGAAAATAATGCCAGACAATACAGGTAAATATATTATTTTCACGTCATCTTCAAGACTAGTGAAAAGAAAACTTCCGCAATATACATGTTAATTTTTCTCCCTTGAAAAGGATAAAGAGTATGAAGGTATACAGCATTTGAAGGAAGTTACTGTATTTGTGATAGACAGGATGTCAGAGCGAGTTACTACACCTGTATACAGTCCCTAAGGAAACCTTAAAGTTTGTGTCAGATTGAGCTTGTGTGTGTGAGGGAGATATAGGAGATGTATTGACTGCACAACTACACTTACAGGCATCATATGTGACTAAACTTGCAGAAGACAGCTTTTTATCTGCAGTTTCATTTCAATCCAGCAGGGGGCAACCCTTTATAATAGAAAACAGGCTCTGCTCTGCTGAGCAAGCTGCTTTTAGGAGGTTATTCACAGGCTGATTCAGCAGGGTAGGACTCAGACGAAGAGAAGTTTGCTTTCTTAATCTGACTTGGGTTTAACTCTCACATGCTGCAATTATTAGAACAACGGTGTGTCATTTTCCCATTTTCTTTTTGCAATTTTTCAGTGACTTGATCCATCATTTGCTATTGATAAATATTCAAATTAAAACTGGTGACGTGACAAACTGTCTCTATTTTCCTTAAATAGATGCATTTGAAGGTTTTGTCTAAGAGATCCTGTGGCAGCCAAAATGACACATTCACATTATCTTTTTTAAATGAGCCATGCTTTTTTTCAGTTTGGCAGACTAAAAAGCCTAGAAGGAGTCAGTGCTGAGAGAAAGTTAGACACTGCGATGACAACGTATAAAAAAAGAGAAAATTGTTCTGCTAGAAGATAACAAATGACCCAAAAAAATAAAGAAGAGTGTGTTTCAAAAACTTACTGTAGGTTGCATAACATACTGTTGGTGTGGCATCCAAGACGTACTCTGGACCTGTGGAGAGAAGAAGGTAGGATCAGAGAGGAGATGAGAAGATAGGTAACAAGAAGATGAGACATGAAGAAAGAGGTCAGATGGGAAGTAGAACAAAAAGTAATTAAAGGAGGGGATGGGAATGTGTAGGAGGATGCAAAAGGGAGGTGAGGAAGAGATGAGAGGAGAAGGAAGATCAAAAAGAAGACGGTTATAAGTGAATACAGAATTGAGGGGGAACGAACATAAAGAAGGACAATTGGAAGACAGAATGACAGGATAGGAGTGAAAATGAGGAAAGCAAGGAGGAGAAGAGAGAAAATGAATCATTAGCTCAAGTCTTTACAAGCCTATTTCAGAGCCTCAGTCCCTACGGCAGTATGTGAGGGTCCACTATACAGTACGTTATGTTGTAATTATAAGAGGATATGAAGACCACAGAGAGTCTAATAATTACGGCTTCACAGTGGAGGGTTTCATCATCAAAGTCTGTCACAAATCACCACTTTCATCTCCTACTGCCCAACCCAACATGAGGAGTCCCTGAAGGCCCCTTAGTCACATGTAAATAGGGCATGGTATCCATAGTAATTAAATGAGTGCATGTGTACGTTTGCTTACCTGTGTCTGTCTATGGGGAGTTAACATAATGCAAGGTTAATTCCTTCTTGTGTTTCTCCTCAAAAAGCAGGATGTCTCTGTGTGTAATTCTGCTTTTCTGAAGGCGTGACTTTGCATGTGTCTCGTTTACAACAGTGTTCGGTGCTAGGGGAACGTCTGTGGGGAGAGGACTGCCGTTTGTTTTAAAGTCTATGTGTTTGACAGATTAAGAATCAAGTACTGAGTCAATATCTGAAAGAAACGCAGCTACATCTGCAACCAGCTTTGACATGAATTTGTAGGGTTGGTGCGTGTGGGAGTGGGAGGAAGCACCACATGGGAACATAGAGAGAGACAAAAAGAGGATTTGTGCCTAAGAATGAAAGATCAATGGGAGGAATGCTGCAATATAAGCCTGTATTTTATCTTTGCTAGACGAAGAATTGTCCTGAGTGGAGAGGCGTGATAACTCCATTTTTGTTTTAAAGTCTTTCCTGATAAAAAGCAAGCTCTACTTGCTTGACCTGCGTGCCCACTACACAAACAGGGGTCAAAATAAGGACCAGAACTGCTGTGAATGGCATCAGCTCAAACATATTTATTACATATTTCCAAATCCCTGATCCCACATAAGTTCTTAACTTCACTCTAGATGAGGCGGCTATTGTTACAGCTGGGCACTGTAGTTTTTAGCAAACATTACCATTAAAACAGTAAACATTGCTGCAAATTATTTGGAGTTGCGGACTGATACAAGTTTGGTTCGCTCAGGAATATTTATAGCAGCAGGATGGTTTGTGTGATTGGCTAAGTGATTGTTTTTTTATGGGATACATTGGCAATACATAAAAAACACAATCAAAAATAAAATATGTTATTACTTTACCACTACAGATGTTCATATCCATTACTAAAGCTCAGGTTTAATGCATCTCTACAGAGTTTTTTACTTCAATTTATTCTATAAGGCTGTATGTCCTTGGGATTATAAGCAGATAATAAGACAATGGACCCCAGTAAAAGATATACCAAAGTTCCCACCATATTTTCTTGGTGTTTTTTTTGTTTCTTTTTTTCTGTGGTTGTCGCTTCGCCAAATCTGTTGGCCATCCAGCAAGCTATTGTCAGGTCAAAATGCATGCCTGAATGTTGAACATGTTCTCTGTAGTAGTGCTAGTACAGGACAATGCAGTTGAGTTTAGTTAACTAAGCTGATAACTAAACGGTTTACTCGTGATACTTTATCTGACAATGAATTTTCTGTTTAAGGTGCCCTCTGATATCTTGGAGCCCTTACAGCATTTCAACACTGGTTGTGAACTGTAAATTCATAAGAGATTGTTCACCAACCTGATATGTAGATACGGGAGAAGCAGCGATGAAGGGTGTGATTGACGCCTGTGCAATCATCCGATTGGTGGAGATGCTGTATGGCGAGGAGTAGAACCTATGAAAGCATACAAGAAAATGTTTAATTTTGACATCATTAAACTAGCCAACTAGGAAGTATTAAATAAGGAATCAAGACAGTTAAAAGACAGTCAACCGGCAGTCAAGAGGCTTCCCTGCACTATTAGCTCTTCAGATGTAGCCACATGCAAAGGTGAAAAGGAGCCTTTTGTACCTCTTTGCTTTCACATACCCTGTGCACTTCAAGACACCACTGACAAAATGGATCAGACATCATCAAGGCAGTCATGGAAACAATAAATATTGCAGCTACACTCTGTGCCACACCATCAAAGACGTCTAGGAATGAGACTTGACACTGCACCGGAGCACACATCATGTTACAAAGGCGTCTGCTCCACTGCCATGCATAACAATGAATTATCACCTTAATGTGTGAGTGGGAGAGTATTTCTATCGCACTTTATGTCCCGACCTACGCTCATTCCACTTAGCAGAGAAAGCTGCATCTGTAACATGTGCATTTTGTACTCTTATCCACCCCCCCCCCTCCCATTTGCCCTTCTGATTTTGCTCCATCTCTTCTTCTTTTTTCATTTCACCCCCTCAGCCCTGCAGCTGTAGAATGCTGTGGCTCTCAGTGCTTTATTTATCATTGTGTACCTAGAGAGGACATGTTTCATCCGCCAGGCCGTTTTTCTGTGCCTGATCGATCCTAAAGTGTCCGTTGACTGAATAATGGAGCAAGGGAGCAGAGAGAGAGAGAGGCAGAGAGAAGCCCTCCCCTATCTATTTCTAACATAGCCTCGAATGCATCGAAAGGCACTCGCTACAAATCAAGGGATGCCTAATTGGTGGAGAAAAAAATAACCCTGTTACATTTAAGGTTACTTCCAACTACTACCAAATATCTATATATTTCATTCGTAAAGATCTGTACCACACTGAGATGACAGCCAGATATATATGACGGATTGGTGCTTCTCCACTGCGACACCAGCACATCTCATATCAAGGGGGAAATGGTTTGCCGAGGTGCTCTCCCGCCTCTGTTTCACATTGCATTTGTTCGGTCAGTGATAGCATGAACTGTTGGTTTCCAAATGCCTGCGATCAGCTCCAGAATGGGATTGTGCTTCACACGGACATCCAGCCTCTCTGCTGGATTTGTATGCAGTACTTGGGGTTCAAGCCGAAGTAATAGCATAAAAAAGTATAGCTACAATGGTTATACAACGTGGTTCACTTCCTTGGCACCAGAAAGAAATCTCATGAATTATTAGCACTATATATTCTGTCTTGCCAAGGCTCGGCTCTGGTTCACACGCAGGTTGATTGCATGTTCAATCTTAGGTGTGTTGACACTGGCTCGGCTTACTTAGACTTTCCCTGAACTCTTTGCAGGGACATAGATTTTCTTTAGCTTTCCATTTGCTCCTTTTAACTTTGGTTTACCTAATGTCTCCAAGTATAGTCTCCAAGGAAAAAACGTGTGTTGTAAGTCACGCAAACATTCTCTAACAGCATGTTTTTCTTTGAGTAATAGCACTGTGTGTTTTACATTTAATGATGTATGTTTCAACCTTTTACACCCATTGAACTTGTCATGTTTGAACAGATCTATAGTGGATGGATCTAAGTTGGAAAATAACTGGAACATGCAACAAGAAAAAACTCTCGCTAGTCATACTGTAGCACTGTTGATCAATCTTTTTGGACTGTACAATTAAAGTATGACTTGCATTAGAGATACTGTCACTGATGAATACAAATGAGAGACCGCAACGGGGTTATTCAATATGGTCTTCTGATTGTGTTTATTGTATTTTTCATTAGAGTGATGTGTATTGAGAGAGAGAAATAGTAGGCAGAGGACAGATCCAAGGTTATTGATGGAGGCTATTAGCCCTGAGCAGCACACTGTCAATAGGGACTCCAGCGCGCCTGTTTAAACAATACACTAAACATGTAATTGCACAGAGAACATTACTACGGGATTGAATTGAAAACCTCTCTGTGAATCCCCGGTGTGACCTAGCCGCACTGTCAGGAGTTTGCCCTGAAAAATTAGTGAATGATTTAGTGCCGACCTCACTGACTTTTCAGCGGAGAAATGTGGGGGAGCCTGCTAAAATATATGTGTTTGTGCATGTGTGTGGGCAGGAGAAACAGAGGGAAGAGAAGACAGATAGAAAGGCAGAATAAGAGCGCAAATAACAGAGATAGGGAGAATGAGAGAGAAGGATGGAGAGACAAAAGGACAAACAAACCAGATAGAAGGCAAGAGATTAAAAAGAGAGAGCCAGAGAAAGTGAATTGTGTGTCTCCCTGATAGGACAGGCTTTAAGCCAAAAGCCGTCTGGTTGGTTGGGACACATGTTACCAATAACCTCAGATTGGCATCAGACCCTAGAAACCAGCCGAGCTCGAGCTTGGAAAGACTCGCAAACCTGTAATTGATTCGTACCCTTCCCCTCTCCTTGGGCTGACTTTATTTCTGCCTTTGCCCTCCTCTTGACCCACCCAGCCCTCCCTTCTGATTCAACTCCCTTCCCTGCCTGCTTTTTCGCCTCTCTAATTAACAGCATTAGCATTTCACAGTCATTTAGCGCTTTGCCGGAAGGAGCTCCGATGACCTCGGAAGAGAGGTCGGAGTGGGGCTTAAGCACCGCAGGCACACAGATGCTTGCGTGTGAGCATGCATTTACACATGCACAAGCACATACACAAGGCACCATAGATGACCAAAGGTATATCATCTGCTTGGAAATGGAGAGTAGGAAGGGATGTGAAGAAGAAAGAGACAAGTTTAATTGACATTTAGGATGAGGTCAGACAAGAAGATAAGGACTGGTTTCAGGTGCGCGTCGCTCACTTTTATGTATTGTTGGTGGAGCTTTTTTGCTTGCTTACTTCTGCTCCAGTAACCAGAACAGGAAATGACACGTAAATACTACGCTTCCTATGTTTTGGTGCTGACTGCGTTCACACCAGCGATGAACAGCTCCAGAGTTCACTTGCAATCGCCCCAAGACCACCTCTTTTAAGCGGACCAGAGTCCGGTTGTTTAGTTCACATCAGAGGTCTCGGACTGCGTTCATACCAACCCAAGGGTTAAACGCTCCAGATTCAACCATACTAAACAAGGCTGGGGTGAACGCGACCTAAGACGATAAAAGGTAGCTAAATGTGTAGAGCAAAACAGGACACCTGTGGAAAAGAGGAGGAATGTAGGGGACCAAAGAGTAAGGAGTACTGTGTTGACAGGAGGAGACAAGAAACACAGTGCTGGAGGGAAGCGTCTCCTGGGATCGCATCACCAGCAGCGTTCCTAGCGGACAGGACCGATCTCCAATTTCCCCCTGTAACAGGCAGACACTCGACTCTCTGCATGCAGCCCCAGAGCCCTGCAGATAGCCCCGGCTGACGAAAGTCTTACAGCTGCACTGCAACATCGGCCAACTTCCCCGTCTGAAATCAAAACCTACATGTCTGACAGCTTGTATGCATAGGTGCATAAATAAATACCCCATCTGTACCAGTCAGATGTTAGCATGAGGGCAACAGCATGCAACAGCGTCAAACAAAGAGATGGTGGGTGTGTGTGTGTGTGTGTGTGTGTGTGTGTGTGTGTGTGTGTGTGTGTGTGTGTGTGTGTGTGTGTGTGTGTGTGTGTGTGTGTGTGTGTGTGTGTGTGTGTGTGTGTGTGTGTGTGTGTTAATGACCGTGTTTGATTATGTGCATGTTTTGTCATCTGCTCATTTGCATGCAAGAGCATTTGTTGGTGTGGGAACGTGTAAGGTTTATAAAAGCTCGTAAACAGGTGCTTTACAAATATTTGGCCAGGAACGTGTATCAAAATAAAATGAGAAGACTTCTAAAGTTGTACACAAGGTTAGTAAATCTGAGAAGAAATGTATCCACCTACCCGTTCTGCATGCCGGTGGGATCATACGTCAATGCCATACCACTCTGCAGAAAGAGATAAAGAGAGAAAGGTTAAAATACTTTTGATTCAGTTGTGTTTACTAATTCACTCATTAAGATGCTGATGTGTAAACGGTTGTTTGATGATGTAAACTGACAGTAATACTGCCTCTGAGGAATGGTCAAGTCAGTGAAGGTAATGAACTGAGAGGGGGAGAGACAGTAAAGAGGGACATTAGAATGATTCATAATGGGAAGTAGACAAGGAACGCAAAAGCTTTGACTTCAAATTCAACAATATGAGTGGGAAACAAAGACCTGGTAAATAAAGAACAATTGATGATGTCGTCAGTAGCACAAAACATCTCAACTGAGCCAGTTTAAAGAACTTGTGTACAATCACATCATTCTGCATGGATTGGTGTAACAACAATAATCCCTGTAAAAATAATTACATTTTTTATACACTTAAGCTTAACATAAAATAACATTAAAAAGTCAACTATTTCTTATGTATTGAGCAATTCAATGTTCCAAAAAGTATGTGAATAGATTTTTTAAAGAAAAAAAACCCAGAATGTCTTAGCCATATAGAAGTACATGGAATAATAAGACATTCTCATTATCCAAATGGCATATGCACGGTCTAAACAGTTTAATTCACTTACATTTAAAAACACAAAGCAATATTAGGAGGGGGATCATGTGTAATAAAGGTCAATAGAAAGACACCATTAATGGCGCAAACAATTTAGGTTACAGCACTTCTGCTTGAATTTGAAATGTTTCAAATTATTTCCTATTTGCCTATTGTTGAACTCCCGTTGTGAGCAGAAAGGAGATGAGTTAGAAAAAATACTGGAGATAGAGTTCTTGATAAGTTTGATAAGTTTTGAAATGATTCTGTGTGAGCTGTCACAGACACAGTTGGTGCTTATTGTCACACCAAACATCTGTACCGTCAGTCAGGAAACTGACAGTGGCAAACATTTCCCAAAACCAATCAGTCAAAACAAGCCTGAACTTAATTTCTCTGACTGTAACATGCTCCAAAATATGCAACAACCATTCACCATTTTGTAACTTAAAGTGGACCTATCATGCTATATTTAAATGATATATTGTAGGGCCATACCTATATAAGGTATATTTATACGTTTCTGTTTTCAAAATACCAAACAGATCATGCATTTTAGCCATGCCTCATTTCGCTCTATTTGCTGTTCTCCAGCCCTGTTTTTGCAGGGGGCTGATTCTGTGAGCTGCAGCTGACCACGCCCCCCTGCAGGAGAGGGGAGCGTGCTCTGATCAAGTCAGAAGAGGGGGAGAAAAAAAGATCTCCGTCCTCCGTGTTTTATTATATTATTATATAGAGTCGTTATTCATTTGTTTTAAAGCTTAATAAATAACAAAGAAGACCTTTGACCGGCACTTTTCTAATTTTGTCCGGAAGATTTCAACTTTAACGGACATCTTGACCGGCGAAAGAAAACCTAACTGAAACTCTGCCGCACGGTCCCCTCGTTCCTTGGAAGAGGCGGAGAGGTGGGTGTTTGTCATCTGCTGGTGGACTAACCGGAGAGAATTACAGTGCTTGCCTCGACGGGGAGGGATTGCATTGAATTAAAGCAGCAGGAGCCAGTGTTGTAGTCAAGTCACCAATTCACGAGTCCAAGTCACTCTCGAGTCACCACTCTTCGAGTCCGAGTCCAAGTCCGAGTCACCAAGGGAGAGTCGTAGTCGAGTCCGAGTCCAAGTCCGAGTCACCCAAGGAATGTCCGAGTCGAGTCCGAGTCCGAGTCATCATTACCTGTGTTCGAGTCCGAGTCCAAGTCCGAGTCACCTAAGAAGAGTCCAAGTCAAGTCCGAGTCACAAGTCTTCATGTATTAATCTTCATGGATATATGTGTTGAAATGTAGCTGCTCCTCTACATTGCTTTTATCCTGTCATGTTATACTAATCTGTCTATTGAACTGCTGTGAAGCCAGTTTGGCTACAATTCTTGTAATAGGTGCTATACAAATATAAAGCTTATTACTAATATTAATATTATTATTATTATTATTATATATAAACTATGTTTAAAATGAGTTACCTTTTAGAGAAGTGATTATATTTGTATGCCAATATTTTCCTATGGTAAAGTTTTCGTTTTGCACTTTTATTTTGATAGTAATAAGATCGGGACTCTTATTTTGAAGGAACTTTTACCGGTTAAATCGGTTTACTGATAAAGATTTAGCCCCAGAAAGCACATGGCTACTTAGCATGCAAAATGACTCATTCTGCATGTTAAGTAGCCATATGCTTTCGTGTTATCGGCTGAATCTTTATTTATTGATTAGATCACGTTACTCTGATGATAGTGTTCAAGACAGCCTATATGTCTGAACTCGATGTTTAGAGTAATGTGTTACGGAGCCTTCTCTTCAATATTGTTTCCACATAGAGCATTTTGCGCTGCTCTTTTCCAATGTGGAAGCAGAATGTGTGAAAGCATACAGCACGATGCGGGGTGTGTCTCTAGACATCTTTAGACTGGAATAGCGGGGCCCAGTACGTGAACTCGCCTCGCAGCCGGTGCACACGCCAGGATAGAGGACATCAGACTCCATAGAAAACTTGCTCGAGTCCGAGTCCGAGTCCAAGTCGGAGCGTCAATGTACAAGTCGAGTCCGAGTCATCATGGGGGGAAAAATTCACGAGTCCGAGTCCGAGTCCAAGTCAGCGTACGCGATAATTCACGAGTCCGAGTCCGAGTCCAAGTCATCGTGCGCGAGAATTCACGAGTCCAAGTCCGAGTCGCGTCAATCAGTGCGGGAGTCCGAGTCGAGTCACGAGTCCCGAAAATCGGGACTCGAGTACTCCATCTCTGGCAGGAGCAAACGCTTGCCTCGGGGAGGGAGAAAAAAAGCCACAGCGGAGAATAAACAGAAGGGTAACCATGGCAACCATGCGCGGGAAGTCTTCTTCGCTGCTTTTGTGGCAGACTACAGCGCCACTTACAGGCCTGGCATATGTACTACAGCGTCTCCAGCGCTTTCGAGCGGCAATGGCCGGCCGTGGCCCAACCCCACATTCCCCTGATAGGTGGAGAGTTGGCCCAATAGCCGTAGCGCCACCGTCCTGACGTCAGGACAGTGTTCAAATCTGGATCAGTTTTTATCAGATCCGTTGCAGCCCCGTTTTTAGAGATTTGGGTATGGAGGAAAATAGAGAGGGTTGTGTTTTCTGACACTTGGTGAGTTCCCTGGAACACCGGGGACACATATTCATGTATAAAAGACGTACAAAAGTGCATTTTGCATGATAGGTCCCCTTTAAAATATCAATCCATGATTCATTCATTGTTACACCTCATCTGCAGGAATCGTGCTACCCTACTCAGTATAAATGAAAGGATGAGGTTGTGCATTCAAGCTGCATTATAGCAGTTACAAAGTGTATTTTAGTTGCTAAGCACTCTCTGCCCCTCCTCTACTCAATTAAATGTTGTCCCCATTAAGTCAGTGTGGCACTTCCTCTTTCATGTGCATATGAATGAGGTTGTATTTCTCGCTGCTGAGCTTTGAAAAGGATCTTCATCCACTTGACTGCCTCTTGGCAATGTTTCAATGAACATTAAGCAAGAACTATTGTTTTCAGTCGTCTCATCTTTCTCTCAAACGCTGTCCCTCGACCCCACCCTCCTATTCCATCTGCAGCCCCTGAACAAGTCATTTGGACTTGCTCTATATTCCAGACAACTCTCTTATTTCCAAATTGGCATATGGGTTGAAAGTTTGCCCTGATGCTGAACCCTACTACAATGTTTGGTTTTTCCCCAAACACTGTTTCTAGCCAGGATTGGGGGATTATAGACGGCACAAGCAATAAAAAGTAGTACCAGACATTGAAGACCTCATATTGGAAGAAAGAATATTCCAAAGCACAGGACTCATTATTGTTCCAACTCTTAAACAAACATCTGATTTAAAGCAGGCACAAAAGTACATAATGCACACAGAGAAATCCTAGTTTTCACCTTGAGCTGTATTTGTATTCATTGCTGTTTCCCCCAAATTGTTTTGTTGACAGAAGATTTAGATGAGATCAGCTCTGTGAAGCATTGTGATTTTTGCCAGGTCCTCTCTGCTTTGCTGCATAATGCCTGCATTTCTGAATGAATGTGTATGTTTAAGGTAGGGGACCCCAGGAACCAATACTACTATTTGAAGGACTATTAACATCTCTTGTGGCAAAGTCAATCAAACAAGTACAAAGAGATGCAAAGAAAATACAAAGAGACACACAATGAATCCAAATCTACCCCTCGGTCTCCTCCCAGCTGGATGTGCCTGGAACACCTCCCTAGGGAGGCGCCCAGGTGGCATCCTTACTAGGTGCCCGAACCACCTCAACTGGCTCCTTTCTACGCGAAGGAGGAGCGGTTCAACTCTGAGTCCCTCCCGGATGACTGGACTTCTCACCTTATCCCTAAGGGAGACGCCAGCCACCCTGCGGAGGAAACCCATCTCGGCCGCTTGTATCTCGATCTCGTTCTTTCGGTCATGACCCATCCTTCATGACCATAGGTGAGGGTAGGAACGAAAATGGCCCGGTAGACAGAGAGCTTGGCCTTCTGGCTCAGCTCTCTTTTCGTCACAACGGTGCGGTAAAGCGACTGCATTACCACTCCCGCTGCTCCGATTCTCCGGCCCATCTCACACTCCATTGTTCCCTCATTCGAGAACAAGACCCCGAGATACTTGAACTCCTTCACTTGGGGCAAGGACTCATTCCCTACTTGGAGTGGACAGTCCATCGGTTTCCTGCTGAGAACCATGGCCTCAGATTTGGAGGTGCTGATCCTCATCCCATCCACTTCACACTCTGTTGCGAACCGATCCAGTGAGTGCTGAAGGTCGCAGACCGATGAAGCCATTAGAACCACATCATCTGCAAAAAGCAGTTGTGCAATCCTTAGTCCACCGAACTGCAGACCCCCTCCCCCACGACTACGCCTCGAAATCCTATCCATGTATATTACAAACAGGATTGGTGACAAAGGGCAGCCCTGGCGGAGGCCAACCCTCACCGGAAATGGGTCCGACTTACTGCCGAGGACGTCGAGTAGAGACCCCCTCACCCCATACTCCTGCAGCACCTCCCACAGTAACTCCTTGGGAACCCGGTCATACGCCTTCTCCAAATCTACAAAACACATGTAGAATGGATAAGCGTACTCCCAGGCCCCCTCCAGGATCCTTGCAAGAGTAAAAAGCTGATCCGTCGCTCCACGACCAGGACGGAATCCGCATTGTTCCTCCTCAATCTGAGAACAATTACAGAGACTACAAAATACATAAAACACCTAAAAAGAAATGTAAAATTACCCAAAAAATATGACTACAAAGAGACTCTGGGAGACACATATTTATGTTATGTTCGCAAAGAGACAAAGAGAAACGCTTGTTGTTTGTAGTCATTTTGTGTCCAATTCAAAGGGATGGGGGGGCTTTTACGTTTATATGCCTGTTGAGGGTTGTTTGCTGCAATGTTTGCCCATGCGGATCCTTTATGTGTTCCTCTGCAGAGATGTTGTATGTTTGAGTGATTGTGTGTGTAATGTGTGTTCATGTCGCAGTCCCAAGGCCAGACTCATTTAGGAGTGAGAGGTTCTGGGAGATTAGGGCCGGCTGACTGAGTGTGAGGACGCAGTGAGGCCCTCAAAGCACCTCCACGGCCAGATGCCTCTATTAGTCTGCCTGGACCTGAGACATGGCTCAGACAAGGACTTGGGCCACTGACAAATGTGTGAGGAATCCCACTGAAAGCACTGATCATTAATTTTAAGTCCAGCTAACAATTCACACATGTTCGGGATAGTATACTGACACCGGAGCCTCTATTATTAACTATTGATGGAATTTGTCACTCTCTGCTTCCACAAAAGCTGCATTCTGTGCCTGCTACACACATTACCGCGGCATCCTGTTTTTGTGTTGCCGGCACTCAGTTGTTTCAGCCTGGTTCCATTTCATTTCACTTCACCACTCTGCTCTTTTCAAGCCTCAATCTAATGCAAAAGTTAAGCAACTGTTTAAAACTGCGCTCGATGTGTGGGTGGCAGACATTATTATTCACGTCCCCTTGTTCTGTAAATTAAGGCTTTGGTATCGACACTAACAACTTCTGAACTCTCTGCATTGTGCAACAGTCAATCTGCCTTCAATCAGCTGCACAAGGTTTCATTTCGTCTGAAGATGACAGACTGGAGGTGGGAGTTTCAACAAAAGGAAAAACAACTTGGCATTGGGGTCTTGCATAAAACCTTGCATTTTAAATGTAAAAACCTTTATACATGCCAGCTGTCATACTGTCAGCAGCATCCCTAATTCGGCCTACAGTGTGTTATTGGAAGTGAAAGCTGATAATGACCCCGTAGGGGGGCCTGTCAAGTTATTGAAATGTCTTTATAATATGTGAAAAAGAAACTGATTTCAAAGAGAACATCAGCTAGATATTAAAAGTTTGTGAAATTGATGACCTTTTAGATCTACAGTAATGGTTTCTATAAAGCATCTGTCAACCCTGCAAAACGCTGCCTACAGTATAATCTGTTGAATTGTATCCAAATGTATTTCACTCTCACCTCCTTGACTACTTTGTTAAGATTAGCAATTATATTTTTGCTAGAAAGCTGAGTAGGGAAAGGTTTAAAGGACATTTGTGGATTTACTGTTCTCATACTTGTGACTAAGTTAGAAAAATACCACTTTTGGTTTTGTTAACTAAACTACTTCCTCTTATAAACCCTCTCAGCACACAGTGTGCTCATTCTGACTGTAAGAGGCTATTGTAGATTTTGAAAATGCCTGCTGCATGATTTTCCCTGAGGAAAATTCGATGTTGCTTTCTTTTATAGTGGCAGAGTGTAAACAAAGGATTGTGTTGTAACAAACTGATTGAAAGACATGGTTATTTTGTTACAATTGCCCATTTCCACTTGTCTTTCAAGAAAAAGCTGCTGTGAATCCTGAGGGGGATCTTTCGATGAAGTACACTTTCAAGCCTCACCTCTCCTTCCCGTGTCCACGGTCGGCCATTCTGGGGATACTTGACCTGGGTCTGCCTCTTCTTCTGGCCTCCGTCAGCAAACTTGCACAGCAGCGGGTCTGCAGGCGCTACGGAGTGAGTCAGAGAGAGAGGGAGACAAGGACAAACAAGGAGATGTATTAATAATCTTAATAGCATGGAAAAAAGTGAATTTCCATGCATTATGTTAAGAGGTACATTTCGAAGATAAGATTTCAATACAGAGTGTTATGCTGTTGCTTAAACAAACACATAACATAAATCAGTTAGACCTGAAAACAGCACTTCAGCTGTTACATTTATCTCCTCCAGCCCTAATCTAAACATCTGAACAACAGCAGTTATCGCACCATCTCTACTACCCTTACAACCACGCTTCAACAAAAGCAGCCTTGAGGTGAAAACAAAGCCACGGGCTAATCATCAAAGCATGGCGCGCGTGGTTAGAACGACAAACCAAACAGGCATGCTAAATACGCAAAATAACTCCACGCAGCTTGACCCCGGGCACCAGACTGCGATTGTGATTGCTCCAAAGACAACATGATCTTTTTCTGAACCAGAAAAAGAAGAAAGCCTTGATTACAAATAGGATTAGCTGCGTGTGACCTCCCATACAAAAGTTCACCAAAACTCTAACTTCATCCTGCATCCTCCAAACACCCTACAGGCTTCCGAAACAGCAGGAAGCGGCTAGATAGGGGTTTGATTATCCGTAAGAGTGAATGAAAGGCTTTATTCTGTATTAATTTATTGGATTTTAAAAGCATATTTTTAGAATTTGTTAGAGAGCATGAAAGCGGGAATAATGGCGTCGATTTCTGGGAAATACTTCAACAAGGACAGCATGACTCACCAAACACAATAAATAGTAATGTCATCCTAACATGAACCAGATATGTGTGCTTTCAATATTGTGGTACAAGTTACATGGATTTGTAAATAAATGTTCATAATGTTATACAGTGTAATTCTTGTATAAAATTGGATTAAATGCCCACTTCACTTGAATGTGTCCGGGACTTCTACACAGAGCCCTTAGGATCCAGATTCCCTTCTAAAAATAACTACAAATGAATTAAATAATATGTGTAAAGGTTTTTGTCAAATGCAGAAAATGCAAAGCAAGCACAGAAGTATGTTGACATAAAAAGACATTAAAATGCCATAAAGTTGTCAAGCCCTAAACTGTTATTGCAGCAGTGGAACACCAACAAATGTCCTGATTCAGTTTTATACAGATACCCATTGACCCTGAAATTGAATAAGCGACCTCCTTTTATGCCATGCCTCTAATTTGTTACTTTAATACGTCCATCAAGGCATGTTTGAGTCACTGACGGCATCTTAAAAGAGGCTATTAGCCAGCAATCCTGTCTTATTTAACTATCAATGATTTAACACTGCAGAGAAAGTAAAATCCTCATCACTGTGTGCAGCTTAGCAATTCCTAGAAGACATGCAATTCTATGAACTAGCAAGGGCGATATCATCATACTGGTACTGATTCGCACATTATGAATGCCAAAATAAACTACGCAATTACCTCGCCTACTTGAAGAAAAATGTTTCTTCATCTCAGTAAACTGAAAAATGAGAAGAGGTGTTCTCGGAGGAGGAAAGCATTCGCAGTTCAAGGTTGAGTTGAGAGTTACTCAGAATGCCTGGGGCCATGATGGGTACTCCAAAGGCATGTAGACGGAGAAACACGGAAGCTATGTGAGTATGCTGCATTTAGGATGACATGTCATTATACTCTTTAAACTTGATTTCTGTAAGAATGAAAGGCCACACGGATGTTTTCCTGTCATCATCCCTCGCCTGCTTCTCATCTTTCTCAATCACTCTCCCCTCTCTCTTTCTCTATGCATTCATACTGTATACATTTGGGAAACAGAGCTACGTGTAGGTGTGTGTATGTGTGATAAACAGTCCACATGTTTACCCTACTTTTATCATTTTCGAATCATAAATCTAATCGATAGATTTATGATTCGAAAATTATAAAAGTAGGGTAGACATGTGGAGATTATCCGAATGAACAAAACGTGATCTGTCTCTTCAATTTGTGTCAAACACAGACCTTATTTCGAGTTATGTTCCAAAATCCTATGGAGAAATTGCATTGGTTTTTGTCGAAGGAACCGGAAGGAGTTTACTTCCTGGTTTTAGGATGCGTCACTGTGGCACTCTATACTGTGTCGTTTCCTCATGAAGTTTGGTCAAGAATGATACATAACAAATTGTCACGATTATCAAGAGATTAGTGTTTTTTCATCAAGATATACACCATAATGACTGAATATACAACAAACATTCTTTACATTAGATGAGATGAGATTATTTAAGTGGGTAGCAATAAGGCTGCTAAAAAAAAGTGTATACTGTTTCATTATCTCAGTCTCCAATACCCTGCTGAACCACAGGAACAAAATCCAGTTACAAAGCTTCCCTTTTACGCACTCCGTCTTGTGATTACTAGACGACAGTTCTATCGTGCGGCAAGACTCAGCCTTTTTTCAGTTTGCAAAACACCAAATTCAGAAGTGGATATAGGAGGCTGAAATTCTAGATCACACTGTCTAAAGTAGCGGAAATAATTGTGTTATATAGTGTAATATAGTGTTATCAGTATAGCTGGGACTGTTGGGGCAGCAGGAGGTCAGAAGAACTAAATTCAGACACTTGTTCATCCGGTTCAAAACTTTTGTTTTGTGGTGTTTGTGAGTTTCTGAAAAGGTTACTGGGAGTTCCCATGTTGGCTATGAAAGTTAATTTGTGAGACTCTGGCAGTGGTACGTAGTCTGTGTAATGCATCTGTAAAAACTTTCAAGAGTTGGCTGAGGTTGAATTGATATGGTAATAATGGGCGGTAAAGAGGTTCAAAGAGGGCTATTATTCATATTAAATAGTTGTGAATTCTAATTTACAATTTACAATAGGATTAGGTTCAGGTTTATAGGAAAAGGAAAGAATGCTTGTATGCCCTCAAAAGATTGAAAATGCATTGATGTGTGTCTATTTGCGTTGTTACTTCTTCATACAGTAAGTGCAAGCAAATATGTGTTGGAGGACACTTACACATACACACTTGAAAAATATTTGAGTTGTGTTGCTGTTTTGTTTTACTTGTGTGAAGAAAAGAGAAAGCTAAATTGTCGACAGCTGACAACTTATCAAGTTTATAGTTGGGACGCTTTTCTTCTTTGCGTCTTCTCTAAAATAACCACACAAAGATAGAAGAAACTCCTGCTGATCAAAAACAAGTGTGCATCCTTGGTATTTGCATGAAAAACGACTAACTGTGTTTTGAATTCAATCTGACATTATTATGCACCGGGCCTATCACATTGATAGAAAAAGGTTTGTGTTTTTGGGCTTAAGAGAGATGATAAAATGGGGCCCGTTATTGTTAGAATTAGCAATGCAAAAATGCTAAGTAGCTGGTCCAAGGAGAGAAAAATAAAAGAGATCTAGAAATGTCAGTTCTCATGATGTGACAGATATCTGCTACAGAATGACAGGCTAAACTTCTCTAAGTGTGCCTCATACTAACATCCAGTTAGTAAAGCATACAACATGAAAACAGAGAATCATTTATGCGTAACTGGAGAAACTTGTGCTTGTTAAGAGCGACATACAACGACAACATGAGTTTGAATAAGTGTCCAGCCTAATAACCCATAAAGTGGTATACACAAAAGTGCATACACATAATGCTGTAAGCTGTTTTGTATGAGAGCTAAATGGCTCCAGACATGAAACACTGGCCCATAGGGCTATGGGCCAGTGTTTACATGCACAAGAGCGCCCATGCACACACATACAGTGCATCAATATTTGTATAATATTTCCGTTGCATTTAATGTTTTGAGACACTGCTGCAGGAGGCTAATATTTAGTTGGGCAGGACATTTCGACAGGCCAAGAAATGTGGAAAGCCTTTTTTTTCTATTTAATGTATATCTTTATACACTGCTGCCACATTCTTTTGATACCTGGAGTTTAATCCTTTGTATTATTTAAATCGGACTTGTCAGATTATACTGTCATGCCATCTCACAATTCCACCAAAATAACATATTAAATGCACAGAAGATTACGTTTTCGAGCTGTAGCTAAAGACAGCAAACTAATTGAATTATATGAAAAAACTGATGTAGGATTAACACACACAATATACATGAGTATTATTTTGTGTGTGTTTGTGTCAGATTATGACTGTGTATGCAAGAAGACCTTTTAGGTGTTTCTACTGTTGATTATCACATTAAAGGAAGAGGATATCTTGTCATTCCTGCCATTATCATCAATGCAACATTTGTGTTGCAAGCCAGAATTGTAATGTGCCACAAACGGTGAAAGGATTTCAACGGGGCATTCATTAATCAGTATTGGCTCATGTGCAGAAATATTAGAAGGATAAGTCCCACAAATCAGCTAACCTATGGAGGCATTTTGTCTATTGAGTAATTTCATTAAAACAATTAATGTGTTCAACAGAGACAACCATTTTGAAATGTGTCTCATCTGTATTTTACACCTACAGAGCGAATGCAGTGCGAGGCATAACAAAATTATTCAAAATGACTTGCAGCCTCCACCAATACTCCAGTGTGCAGTACTTCAGCACAATAGCCTCATATTCCAGCTATAATGTAAAAACAGACAAGTGTAATATCACTGCTGCATTGGCTTTAGGTGACGCCTGTGATGGAAGAATTGGGATATCACATCATTTTTCTCTGAGGTAGAAAATAACACACTTTATATTCATTCACTGGCACAGTAACATGACATAAATACTGATGATGGTAATGACAATATGAAATGTTATTTATTCCTAAGAGGGAAACTTAGTTGCCACACAATCAGGAGGCAACAACAACAGCAGAGCATCCAGAGACGAGATTACCTGTCTGCTCAAACCGGTGCATCAAATTAATTATTCAGCCTGCTTTCACGGTTACATTGCTACAATCTGTTGCATTTCACGAGAGGGCTTTAAAGAGGAAGAAGGACATTTTTAATTGTCAGTTTGACCCTGCTGCTCTCACTCTTGCGGCTTTGTAAGTGAAAAAAGTAGGAT